CAAATATCTTCAAACTCAAGTATGCATAAATACTTACAGCCATTGGTTGATTTCTAATGGTAGCCAAAAGGAGGCTACGGAGTATTGACTGAATTCTAGATTCAGACTGAAGAACAGACAATACACTTTTGCCTCAATCCTTTTTACAGGTTTCAATAAGCCAGAATAAAATATATAGGTAGTTCTCAGCCAAATTTGACATCAGTAAATTATATGTATGCCTTTCTGAACATTGGAGAATATGTGTTATCACCTCCATTTTGAGCACTTTGAAACTTGCTAGGATTGTAGCAATGCTTATTAGATTGGTTTGGAACTTGGCACATTTGGAGACCAAGGATGCTAAGTTTGAGGTTAAAATAGCAAAGGGTCTTGTGACACCTTTTAGACTAACAAGTTTTGTACTTTCTGGGCATGGCCCACTTCTTGAAGTGCATGGGGCGCAATATTCAGACTATGACCTTATACCTTCATTGGTTCTGTATGTGGGAGGGAGAGACAATGAAGTGAGTGAGGAGTTAGAAATGACAACAGTGGTCGTACAATTTGCCCAGTGTTAATAATGTAATTGCTATTTGGAATACTGTGCCAAAGCAAGGTTGGCATCAGATGCAAAAAAAAAAAAAAAAAAAGAGAAGGCAATGACTGCTGCCACTCCTGCCCCATTGGGGGTGTTTGGGAGGGTCTTTTTGACCATAGACTCCATGAACTTCAAATTCTCATGGCTGCTCAAACCAGTCTTTATTAGATAGGGGATTGGGCTACAAAGATTGGTTGGGTGCCTGGCTCCTCCCCTCCTGACCACTCACAGGAGGACTTAGTTAACCCCATTAGCTCTTTCTGTCCCCAGTTGGGCCTGAGTTCTAGTCTCTGAGCTGACATAGTCTCCAGTCCAGGGGTGGGGTCTAGTTCTCTATACAGACCCCTACCAGCTCACTCCCTTTAAGGAGGGTCAGTCGTGCCAGGCTGATGCAGGTCTCTTGAGTCCCACCTCCAGCAGGTCTGCTGCAGGCACTCCTTGCATTGCTTCCTTTGCTCAGGGCTTGACAAGGCACCTCAGTCTTCATGGGCAGTGGTGTGCCTCCTCCATGTCTTCTAGATGCATGGAACTGGATGCATTCGCCAATTCCAGGGTCTTGCAGCACCAGCGCTCAGTCTTCTCTGAGGACACAGAAGATGGAAAAGGACACCTCTAAAGGCTCAGCCCATTTCCCCCCATCTGAATCTGTAGGGGGTGACAAGTCCTCCCCTCCTTCCTCCTCCTCTTCCTCTGCCCTAGTTGCAGCACATCAGCCTCTGCCTCCGCCTCCCCACCTGGGGCCTGGCTTTTGCTCTCCACACCCTCAACTTGCCCTCTCACCAGGGTCTTTGTAAGTACCAAGAATGTGTGGGTCCAGACAGATTGTCCCTGTCACAAGGACCTACGTATTTTCCAAATCATAGTGTTCTTTTGGCTTTAGCTTACTGCTCACACAAAACCCTGGAGCTATACTGTAGAATAAGAAACAACACATATTGGGTTGAAGTAGGGGAGAGACAAAAGATAAGTAGACTATTCACTTGATCACTTCCACTGAAGTTTGGAATGACTGAGTGGAGGTCCATGGGAAATGCCAAAGTTGCCATAACACAGAAGTGAGGACTGTTTAGTCTCCAAATGTTGTTAGACATCACCCTTGGCTTCGTCGGCTGGAACGGATGGAATTTGCAGACCAATAACTATGGCGAGTCCACATTTCCCCCACATTTTCCCTTTCTCACATTCAGAGGGGGGAGGGGGAGAGAGACAAAGAGAGACTGATTGATCTAGTCATATAACTGCCTGGTGTGGACAAAGATGCTTCTCTGCAGTCTCTGACATTAGACTGCAACTTGGAATTACCAATGACAGGACAGACAAAAGAAAATACTCTTTCTCAAAATGAAGAATTTACTTTCAGAGTTCGCTTCTTGGAAACCTAGCAATGAGCACCAGTTTAAATTGCTTTAGTTGGATGCTTTTGTAGACAAGAACTTTACCAGTCACTACTAAGTGCAATAGTTAAATGGAACTTCTGTGTTCTGAAGCTGTCTATCAGAATGCCAGATATTGGCCAAAAAAGGAGAGATTGCCAGTGTGCTCCCAGGTCCAGTTCAAAGTACTATCAGGCCAGATTATTTGGGCACAGAAAGGACTGAGGGAAACAAACCTACAAATAAAAAAAAATCAAATTGCTCGTCTGATAACTTAATAATCACTCACTTCTCCTATTGCTGGTAGCTGGTACTCACCTAATAAACTTCAGCTAATGAGCCCTTTGAACACCCAGTTTTCCGCCCTGGTACACATTTTCAACATTATGTTCTGTTGACTAAATAGAAAATATTTGCAATTTTAAACATGCATGCTTATTAGTCTTTAATACACGAATGATACTCATTTGCCATACCCTGCAGGCTGTTCCTTGACAAAACCAGGCTAATTGTTCACATAGGCAACAGTTTCAGCAAGATGTGTAAAACCATTGCCCACAGATTATCGTGCCATGTCTTGCCGGGAGAGGTAATAATAGTACAGAGGCACGGAGATGATTTATGGGAGCTGCTGCTTATGTGCATGCACAATATTATGTACAACACAACAGTTGTATGCTGAGCTGCCAAGAGTCTGGCAATTGACATGCAGGCCATGTCTCCCTCCCTATGGGTTATTGGAGGAGGCACGGTTATGGAGAGCCCAAGGGAGGGCAATGCCACTGCACTGAGGCTTCTACTGCCTTGGAAGGGATGCCAAGTGGGTCTGGATACTTCCCACAGTAGAAATAGGATGGAGGAGGAAGGCAGGGGTCAAAATTAGGTGCCATGTGATTTCTGTTGTTTGGGGCTACCTGCAGGGAGGTGACCAGAGTCAGTGCCTAGGGTTCAGGTGGTTTCCTGTTGGCTTTAGTGGGTAATTCTTTACATCTCCCATACCAAGGTTGGGCAATTTGGCCATGGAGCACCCTCCTTTACCCCATCCCAGTAGTTTCATGCTTCTGTTGGCACCCCCTGAATCGGGTTTGTCAATTTAACCTCCAGTAAGCAGGCATGTTTGCTCCATTTGCACCACAGTTGGCCACGGCAAGTGTTTGCCTATGTCGATACTGGAAGCATACTAGATGGAACCATCTAAACTGTGTGAAAAACAGACACAGCCAGGACACCGGTTTCCTTCTCCTTGTAATCTACCTTTTGCTGTACAAGTTGCACTTGTGCAATTCATTGTGCACCTTTGACACCACTGTGTTAAAGAGGGGATTGATCAGAAGCATGTTTTCTTGCATATGGGATGGAGCATGGCATGAAATGTATACATGCTCCATCCCAGGAGCAGATACATGAGATGTGTACATGGTGAAATACATCGTTCCCAGTCCCAGACTATAGCTAACTTGCCTGTATGCACTTTCACAGAGCCAGTCTTAAACTACTACTGATGCATAAGAGACACAACCCAGATGTGGAGACAGGAATACAACCTTTCTATGAACCTGATTCCAATTATGTCTCCAGAATGTCTCTGGTAGCATCCTTGCTTGTCCCAGCGATGTCAATCACAACCTCAGGGACTTCTTGACTTGTTCATCCACTAATGTGCTCTATGTCATCCTTTGCTAGCAGAACTCCTCTGCATTCTGTTTAAGGTAAATTGGACAAGACCCTGGAAAAGACCCTGATGTTGGGAAAGTGTGAAGGCAAGAGGGGAAGGGGACGACAGAGGACAAGATGGTTGGACAGTGTCACCGAAGTGACCAACATGAATTTGGCCAAATTCCAGGAGGCAGTGGAAGACAGGAGGGCCTGGCATGCTCTGCTCCATGGGGTCACGAAGAGTTGGGCATGAGTTAATGACTGAACAACAACAACAACAAAATTGGACAATCTCTATGAAAGAGAATTAATGGACACAAATCTGACATAAAAATATGAATACACAAAAATCAGTTTCAGAATACTTCAGCTCACCAGGACACCCTTGTACAACTCTCAAAGCAGTAGTGGTGGAGAAAATGAGGTACAAAGGAAGAATAGAAAGAGAAAGCTAACGTGGCCTGTATTCAGAGAATGCAACATACACCAAAAGGATTAAATAAAGATTAAACAATTATTCTTCAAACACTTTAGCCAGAATAATCTTAGTTATGCTGACCAGTATAAGAGGAAATGATGGGATGGCCATACAGATATCATTCCTGATTAGGACCATTTGCTATTCCAGGTAGCCCAGTAGTAACACGAAAGGGGGAATCTGACAGTAATCCTAAATATCCCTCCTATGAGGAAATCTTGACTTAATGTTTTCCTAGAGCTTTTGAATAAAATATTGGCTTTAGGAGATAATACTATAATGGGAGTTAGACATTAACAGCTTTGCTTGGGACACAGTAGCAATATACCTTCAGGGCTGAAATGATGCATCTCTCAGTGTCGAAACATGCTTGGTGTGTACAGTGCAAGAGTTATAACTAATTAGTCTTAAATACTTTATATGGAATAATCAGTGATAAGCATTTTGATGATGACAAATGTCCAGTTTATGTGTTATGTTTTTTTATTATGCAAATAAAAATTAATGAAAGTGTTGCAGATTTAGCAATGCATGCATGTTTAATGTTTGCATGGGGGTGTACAGAGACCTGTATAAATACCAGTACCTTGCAGGAGGAGAGCATCACACCTTGCTTCCAGTGTCAGATCTTCACTGCTGAAGTTGAGGTAAAGATTTCTCCATTCACTTCGCTAAGTATCTCCTTTAGGTAATTGCTGATGTATGACTTATAGAGAATGAAATGGGTTTTATCTTAGGGTAGCTCTTTGAAAGCATGACTTGAGTAAGTGGGTGTATCTCTGTGTGTATTTGATCTGCAAAAAAAGTTATTTCTCAGTGGTTTGAGTATTAATAGTAGCAACAAAAGAGAGTTTTCATTGAACGTGGTGTATTGGATGTTTTTCTTCTTCCCTTAGAGCTTTTGAACTTCACCATGATCACCATGTGTGAAGCCCATGCTAAATTTGCCATTGACTGTTTCCGCCGGCTGGCTGAAGAGCACCCATGTGATAACCTCTTGTTCTCCCCTGTGAATACTGCCTCTGCCCTGGGCCTGCTTGCCTTGGCATCTGGATGTGAGCAGGCAGCTGACATTGAGAAGGTGGGTGTCCTCTGACATCAGGAATGTGGCCTCCAGACTCAGTTCATTTGACTTATTGTTGATGCTCCTCATTGTATGCTGTAGATTAATGACAGTTGTTAGATTATTGCATTTTGTTCCGATTTGACCAAATAACACACACCTCTCCTGCATCTGCCTCAGTAAGAGCAGAACTATGATATGCAATATAGACAATGTGACTGGAGGTTTTTAAGGCACAAAAGCCTATGTTTCAAAGCTCTCTTCTGCAGTGAGAAATCTTTTGTGAAGTGACTCATAAGAATCGTGCACAGATAAGCTTCTATAGACTCTCGAATACAGCATGAGGCACCTTCTGCTATATTCTTCCTTGACACCTTTTAGTCACAAAGTTGAGATTAAATGAAGGCAGATGTGTAGATTGTCTAAATAGTTCAATATACATGTGGATTATTAATTTGGAATGATTCAGGCTTTGTGTCATGATTATGAACATTTTGAGAAACTAGATCAAAATTAGATGCATGCGGCTTGAATGATCAACGTGTGTTAAAAAATGTTACCTTTTAATTAAAGGTCCTGTACTGGGATGAACTGAAAGAGTGTGATGGGCCAAGAAAACAAAGATATTTGACAATAGCCAGAAGCTTTGGACCATCAGCAACTAGACTAAAGGTATCTGTTTACAAGAAAGCTTGAACAAAGCCTCTTCCATTTAAAACTAGCCTGTGCATTGACACTAATTCCAGGCATCTTAGCTTCAAATTCTGTGCCACTTGGGGAGAAGGAAGAGCAAAGGTTATGGGCTTTCAGGAAAACCTTACACTGAAGTACATACATGGATTGCACAAGCTCACTCACCCCATGCAATGGGTAATAAAATGTGTTTCTCATCATGTTTGACTCACCCCAAGATAACTAGTGTGGGCAGCATCTGTAAACTTCAGAGGGGAAGAATGAGGAACTTGAATGTCTTCAGTTTGGACACTTCCTTTGAGCTGGCATTCAAGTAAAAGAGCCAGGACTACTGAGAGCTGGTCTTCTGCCTTTGGAGGCACCCAGCCTTTGTGTCTTTCTATTGTGACTTGGAGAGACATCCATAGCAGCAGCTCCCCAACTAAGTGCATGCCTGGTGCTTGGGGTTCTGGTTGCAGCATTACAGATGCAGCTCATCCATTGTCCTCGGCATCCTGCTTACCTGAGGCAACTGTCTCAGTGGGCATCAGGTCAGCCCCGAGTCCATTTATCACCCTTTTCAAATATATTCCCAAAAAATAACATTCAGAAATTGATGTCTTCCTGAGTTGCATGGCTAATGGAGCATACCCATATGCCTATCTCATTCACAGACCCCAAATCCTGTTGCTTAGCCTAGCAACTAGTGCTAGAGTAGGCCCATTGAATCAATGTGGATTGGATGAGTCACCCGTTCAGGGTGTCAGGCCCTTTGAATCAATGGAACATACAGAGGAGGTGGCTCATTAAATTCCCATTGATGCAATGTGATTAGTGCAATTTACTACACGAAGCAACAGGATTTTGACCACTGTGTTAGTCGTTAAAAAAGGGAGCACTTTTCATATTTTGAGCATTTTGTGCAAAATATAACCTTTCCTATTTTGAAGGTGAATGTGCTTTTAAGTAGAAGGGATTTCTTAATCCTTTTCTTTAATTGGACTGAAGATAAAATAGTAACACAGGATTTTTGTACATTTTTATTACAGACACAAGAGAAAATTGTTGTCTGCCCCAAACAAAGAGCTCAACCTGAACCAGCATGTCCTCAACAAAGACCTAGACCTGAGCCAATATGTCCCAAGCCAAGACCCTGTCCTGAACCAACCCCTCCTGAACAAAGATGCCCTAAACCAAGACCCCGTCCTGAACCAGCATGTCCTGAACCAGCCCAGCCACCTTGTCCAGAAAGAGTAAGTGTTACAATTTGGGGGAATTTTAGATAGATAGATAGATAGATAGATAGATAGATAGATAGATAGATAGATAGATAGATAGATAGATAGATAGATAGATAGATAGATAGATAGATAGATAGATAGATAGATAGATAGAATAAATATATTATGTAGCTCATATATTATGTAGCTCAATAGAATATTTAACAGCTACGTTTCTTAGAAAGGGGAGTAATAAATAATGATTTAGGACTATCAGCCAAGTAATAGTTGCCCTCTCTTCCTTCCTTTCCTTGTCTTTTTTTTTACTATTAGAATGTTCCAGAATATGAATGTGAAACACCTCAAGGAGTCCATACCGCATTTAGCAAAATCCTGGCTACTCTTCATGCACCCAGCACCAACTATGCTCTGAGTTTTGCCAACAAACTCTATGGAGACCATGCCATTGCCTTCATCCAGGTAATTCTTACTATAATCACTGTATTGTGGAGAACCCAAGGAATGATTGCTTGGACTTGATAAAACCAAATCAGAAACGGAGTTATCTTTTGCATGCATCAGCAAAGGCTCTCCCTCATTCTCAGGCCACAGCAAAAAACTTGCTGCTGAGATCATACAATGTAGCTGCTGCTTGTTCTACGTTGTACTTTGTCAGCAAAATCCTGAAGCCTTTGAGAGGCATAGAATACCAAGTCTTTCCCACTCATGTCTGCTGCCTTGTGGAACTCTCTGTTTACTATATACATCCAGGCTTTTAGGAAGTGAGGGGGAAAAATTCCAGCAAGAATCCTATAATGTTACTGGTTCATGTTAACTTGCTATAGCTAAATGCAGCTAATAACAAAATGGTAGCTATGTCTGGTTCGTATGCCTGCTCCAGCATCTAAATGCAGAGCAAAGACGCATCCTGGCACCTCCTTCATTAGCCATAATTACCTGCAGCAGATTATAAAAAGCTTCCTTGAATACCAAGGTCCTGGCTTTCCATTCTGAAAAACAATAGAGGGCAATTGCCTGTATCCCTCACAATGCATAAGTTAGAGAGAAGCTTCTGAATGTTCTTTTCTATTGTCATTGCTCATGGTACTGACCCACAGAACCAATATTTTTCCTTTCTGCCCAGAAATTCATTTACTGTGCTCTCAAACTGTACTGGACAGATGTGGCTGGAGCTGATATCCACAATGCCCCAGAGGAAGTGAGGAGAATCATAAACCTTTGGGTTGAGGTCCAGACCCATGGTAAGAACACACTGTCCGCGGTTTTCTTTTACCTGTTGTTTACTGACATATTTGACAGGAAGGTATCCAATTGTTGCTTCAAAATAATGGGGGAGGGCACAGAGAGGGATAAGGCAGAGATTTCATGGCCAACAAAAGCATACTGCTCCCCCCAAAATAACTCAGTACTGTAGTCTGTTTTGTACTATAGCTTCCAGAAGTGTTGATTTAGCCATGCACGCAGGGGTGTGTGAGATGCTATCTGTAGGAAAAATGAAGAGGCAGACATCAGAATGGTTTGTACTTTCCACACCAGTATCAGACTGATATACCTCCCTTCCACAAAGAACACTTGCTTTTTATTTGCGGCATTGCCATGAAATAGAATTGTTAAAACCAGTAGAAATCAAAATGTGTGGCATGCATTTCTTTATAAGGAAATTCAAGGATCTCCTCTCAAAGGACAGTTGGGTGGCCTTGCTCAGTGGCCACGGGAGAATCTCTCTGCTTAAGTGGGAAATAGCCTCTAGCCTCCAAATGCGTCGGTTTGCTTCTGTTGTGGATGGAGAGCTGTGTAATCTGAGACAACTGAAAGGCACTAGACTCTGATCTGGACTTTTTCTAAAAATCCAGAAAAATAAAGCCATAGTCACATACAGCATTTGTCTTACGTAGACAGATTGAAGTTCTTTGTCTGTTCAAGCTGCTGCATTTAGATTCCACAAACAGTATGTCCTTTATTTATATTTTAAATGCTAGGTAAAATCAGGGATCTCTTCCCCAAGGACAGCTTCGACTGCCTTGCCCAGCTGCTGCAGGTGAATGCTCTCTATTTCAAAGGACAATGGGACGTGAAGTTTGACAAAGAACTCACTGTGGAAGCCCCCTTCTATTCACACCATGCCGATGCGGTGAGAAAGATATAAATATATATGCATAGCTTTCAGTTTCTCTTTTCCACAGCTAAGGATGATACACAGACTAGTGGCTACCATGCAACTTGTAGCAGGAAGGTTTTGAGAATGCGTGGAGGCCATTCAAATAATTTGGCACCAAGAAAATTCTTTTATCTTGTAGTTTTTAACAATGCTTTTTTTTTCAGTTCCAGAGAAAACAATAATTTTAATTCCTGCTTCCTTGAGAATTTCAGGGGAGGGATCTTAGCACCATAAAACTTTCCTTATAGATCATAATGAAGAATAAACACTCAACATCACACTCAACAGGGATGCAGTGGCGCTGCGAGTTAAACTGCAAAGGTCGAAAGATCAGCAGTTCGAATCCATGCAATGGAGTGAGCTCCCATCACTTGTCCCAGCTCCTGCCAACCTAGCAGTTCGAAAGCATGTAAAAATGCAAGTAGATAAATAGGTACCACCATGGTGGGAAGGTAATGGCATTCTGTGTCTAGTCACACTGGCCATGTGACAACGGAAAACTGTCTGCGGACAAACGCTGGCTCTATGGTTTGGAAACGGGGATGAGCACTGCCCCCTAGAGTGGGAAACAACTGGACAAATTGTCAAGGGGAACCTTTACCTTTACCTTATCACACCTTTACATACAGTCTTAGACTACATCTTCAACACAAGGCCTGTCTTTTCTAACATTCACAGATGGCAGTGAGGTTTTGAAGCTGAACACCTGACTCAACTGAGTCCACGTCCATGGCAACAAAAAAGGAAATATGGCTTTCAGAGGGAAAGGGGGACATCACTCTAATTTATTTTTCCCCACTTTCCTTAGAAGAGAGATTGCCAGACTGTGCTGCTGATGAACAGGAAGGGCATCTACAACACTGCAATGGTTGACATCTGTGGTGTTGAGGTGCGAGTCCTGGAGGTCCCCTATAAGGACAATGAAATGAGCTTCTTTGTACTGCTCCCAACTGACTGTAGCCCTGAGGCTCTCCAACAGGTAATACATATGCTCATCCCTAGGTTCTTATCTGTAGTGTTAATCTGGCTGACACTTTTATGGACTTTCTGGTTATCTTGAACCATCTTGGGCAGAAATTATTCCACTAACATTTCTGTTTGCTTTCCTAGCTGGAAGATTCACTTACCCACGAGCACCTACTCAACTGGTCGTGTCAGCTGAAGCCTGCCGAGGTGGACGTGTTCATCCCTAAATTCAGCTTAGAGAAGAGCCTTTATTCCATTGAATGTTTGGATCTGCCAAATCTCCAAGATCCAGAAAAAGCTGATTTCTCTCAAGCAACTACCACTGAGGGAGTGGCCCTCACTCAGCTGGTCCATGATACCTTCATTGAGATTGATGAAGAGGGTGGTGAGGAACCAGAGGCTCGCCGTTGCCCCAGGGATAGGCGCCCACGTCGGGAAGCTGTGGAGGTTGTGGCTGACCATCCTTTCCTGTATTTCATTCTGCACAATTGCACCCAAAGCATCCTTGCCCTTGGCAGGTTTGCTAAACCAGAATAGAGGAGCAGTTTTGACCCCTGCAAGGAAATTAATGGAAGACGAATATGGAAAATGTTTCTAGAAAAATGCATTATTCTGGAAGTTTTTTTCTCTTTGCCTCTATCTGTGCAAAGCCACTCATTGCATTTTAAAAAAAGAATCTGTTCTTGGTGGTGGAGTTTATTATTACGAGAATGAAGCTTTCAAGACCTCTTGCCTGCTTATCTGCCTTTTCTTTCGGATACCACTGTACATCTGCTGAAGCTTTTCTTTAGCTCTGGAAATCATCCCAGCTGTTAGGTGCTAGATATTCATTAAGTAGCACACTTAATGCAAATGTGTGTCATCTGGAAAGGAAAAGAGCTTCTGATTTTACTACAGAATCTTCCTGATATTTTTACATGAGATGCAAAAATGTCGCATACCTCTAGACCACAACTCCTATAGTTATGTGGCAACAATGAAGTGACAGAGAGATGGAGGATGGAGCTGGGACAACCAGGGTGGATTTTATTTAATTCAAGGTTTAATCATGCTTTTATATCTTCGAAAAAAATCAGATTTTAAATGATTTAAATAAAACATTGATCTTTAAATTTTAATTTGGTTTTTTAAAATTGATTTTTGTCCATCCTGGGGAAAATATCATTTTCTCCGGAATCTGATACTTAATGCCAGTTGTCACACCTTAAAGCATTTAACTGAAAAACTGAAAAAGCTTTCTAAGCTATTCTTTATTCCATTACCTTTTATTTCAGTCATCCTCCAACCCCTTACCTGAAAGTAAGCCCCATTGTCCTCAATGGGACCTACTTTTGAGTTGGCAGATATAGGATTGTACTATTAAGCTGTAAATGTCTGTGTGACTTCGTTTGAAGGCAATGCATCAAGTGATGCCAATGTTTTTGCTTTGGCACTTATGAAACTGTCTTGCACCTTTCCTTTGTGACATGAACTATAGCCCCACAATATCTCAATAAACAAAGCATTGAATAAAACTATGTTTTTCTAGTTTTAAGTGCTATGCAAATACTACCTGCTTCAAGTTGGTTCAAATTATCTGTCTTACAAATCACAACGAATGTTTGCATTTGTCTGAATAGTGAAAACATGAACATGGGAGAAATAAAGGGATCTGACCTTGGATGAGTTGAAACTCAGTGTCATCAGCTACTGCTTGAACTCTAGTGTGTAGGCAAAGAACCTACCACTTCCTCCCTCCCTCCCTCTAGGAGCTATGCAATTTAGATAGCTTGGGTTCTACAGTATTCCTAGTGCTATTGTGCCCTAGCACACTCAAATTTCCCATAATGGTACAAATTGCACACATATAGAAATTCAATAGATTGAACTGAGAAGATCTGCAGCTGCCCAAAAGGGGAAAAAAAAATCTTCCACGGCACCCTCACTCTACCTCATGCAAATCTAAACAATACAATGTCTTTGAATTAATTCCTGTCACAAGGAGAGGAACTCCTTGCTATGGGCTCTGTGACTGGGGGTTTCCAGGAGACCTTGGACATTTCTTTGCTGTTTGAACTGCTAATCTTCTTTGGCCCTGGGCCTCCTCGATCTTTTACCATATTATTTTCATTTTTGCAGTGATTGACATTTACCTATGGAATTGAGGAGGGAAAGGCCACTCTTTATTTTTAAATCTTTAAAACTCTGTAACTCTGGAACATCATTTATTGGCCTAAACACATTGAAAGGCCATAGAAGGCTTGTTTGTCACAAAACAATTAGGCAGAATAGTGAATATATACTTTGTATCGTGTCTTGGCTTTTGCAAGAGCTGGAGACTTGTCTTGGGTCTTTCTCTTTTTCAACATGAAAGCTGAAAACATAGGTCAGCAAATGATGCAAACGGGCATCAGGTAACATAGCAGAATCTAGATAAAACCCTGACAGAAAACAGTCTGGCAGCCCTACTCTTTGTGGATTTGTGGAAAATTGATGGAAATAAGCAACACCTTGCTACTCACTGTATTCAGCACATGTTTGGAATATTAACTGATCTCATGATACCAACTTTAGTGTGAAATTAAGAAGGGCAAAGAGAAGATTTATTGGGTAATTAAAATCAAAGGAAACCGTTATACATCATCATACATTTCCCACCCCACCTCAAAGACCCCAATATTCCTGCTTCATTAACAGGCAAATATGATTTGGCTTTTTTCTCCACATAGATATGTTATTATATGAGTTACTCTAGAGTAGCCATGGGCAATGACACCCCCCCCTTTATCTGTTTTTGGACTTCATCTATCATAACATCTCTGACTTGGATGAAAAGAATTGTCAGAAAAACCTTTGGGGAGCCAAAGTTAGCCACTTCTTCTCTAGAGGATCTCTTATTGACACTTTTATGTAAATAGACTGATTTACTTAATGAACTCCCAACTGTTATAGCTTCAAGAGCAAGATCCTAACTTTTCTGGTGATCCCTCTTGCTTTCTGAAGCCACACAAGCCCCCCCCCCGGCAATAAAGGTGACAAATTGCACCAAGAAATGTATGAATTTCTAATATATGGATAGTGCCAACACAACCAGGTGCTTTTCCATACCTCCTGGTATGGTTGGACTTTGCCAAGGAAAAACATGAGTTTGGGCAGCAGGAGAGAAGAGGAGCAAAGGACGCTCATGATAGTTTTACTTCTCTTTGTTAAAGGGGAGCTCACAGTTTGAGTGAGCAGTAACTGCCCCTCCTTTTTAAAAAAAGCAAGAAGCAGTGCATTCAGAAAGGAATGGTGTGTAATTAAAGGGATCCCTGCTACCTGCTATTGCAACGCTCCACAACACTCTGCAGCTCCACAGAGAGTTGCAAAGTGTCATGAGTGCTTCCGAAGATCTGGACCCAGAAGGGTTAACTGTGGCTGAGGAGAATGTGGAGAGATTGGAACCAGCTGAGCAGCCTCCAGATTCTCCCTCCACGGCAGACAGGCTTCGGGCAGCTTCAGAAAAGACTCAGGGCAAGAAGAGCAGAGGATCGCTCTAAGGCTTTCCAAAGGGACCTACGTTCACCTAGTCCTGAGTACTAGCAGAATAGAGAGCTTTCCAACAGCTCAAGGAGCTGTTTCAGTATAAAACAAGTTTCAGTGAAGCCAGAAACTTCTGGAAGCAAGGAGTCAAAACCTTGGCTGGCATCCCCGTCTCTTGCATCTTGTTCCTGTCTCTGAACTCTGGACCTTGACCCTGGACTGTGCTGGTATTGGACTTTGGACCTTGGCCCTGGACTACGTTGGTATTGTACTCTGAACTCTGGACTCTGACTGTGTATCTGACCCTGGACTTTGACATTGGACTGCACTCTGTAAGTTTGTTTCAGGACTTTGGCTTTGCATTCTTGGTATCTCTGACCTTGGACTGGTTTATCGGACTTCGGCTTTTGTAACCCCCGGGAACGTGACACAAAGACTTTCTGACCAGTGACTAAATAATACTGACAGCCTTACTGGTTACACACAACCTCATTCCATTTTTTGTTACTGTAGGGACCAAAAACAGTACAGTGAAAAAAATGCTAATTTATTTTATTGAGTGATTGATTGATTACATTTATAGTCCGCCCATCTAGCCATATAGACTGGGCGGGTAACAACATATCATATAACAATTTAAAATCATAACAATATATTACTAAGTGAACAATGATCCAAGATGGGAGAAAACACAAGATAACAAAAATTTAGATGGTGGGTGGAGGGAAGTCTTGCTTAAACAGCCAGGTTTTCAATTGGCATTTAAAGATGCCCAACAAAGGGGCCATGCGAATCTCAGGAGGGAGGTTATTCCAAAGACGAGGCGCCACTGCCGAGAAAGCCCGGTTTCTTGTTTTTCCTCCAGGCCTCCCTCAGCGTTAGGCTCCTCAGCCTCACCTCCTGGCTAGATCGGGTGATATGGGTAGATCTAGGTGGGAGAAGGTGTTCCGTCAGGTAACGAGACCCTAAACCATTTAGGGCTTTATACGTAAGCATTAAGACTTCGAAATCTATGCGGAACCAAACGGGCAGCCAATGCAAGGTGGCCAGAGTGGGAGTAATATGTTGATGTTTCCTTACCCCACTGAGAAGTCTGGCCGCCACATTCTGCATCATCTGGAGTTTCCGCATAGATCTCAAAGGCAGCCCCACATAGAGAACATTGCAGTGGTCTAATCTCGAGATTACGAGTGCATGGACCAAAGTGGTGAGTGACCCAACATCTAGATAGGGACACATCTGGGCTATCCACCAGAAATGGAAATAAGTGGTGCGGACCACTGATGCTACCTGGGATTCCATGGCAAGCGCCTGGTCCAAATAGACTTCCAAGCTGCACACCTCACTCCCAAAAGAGAGGGAGTTTCCCAAACTGCTGATGGTAGGCCCACCCACCCTCAGGACCTCCATCTTGTCTGGATTCAGCCTCAGCCCATTTTCCTGCATCCATTGCAATACAGACTCCAGGCAGTGCTGCAGGGACAGAACAGCATCCACTGTAGTTGGCAAAAAGGAGATGTAGAGCTGCGTGTCATCGGCATATTGATGGCATGATGCTCCACACCCCCTGATGACCTCACCCAGCGGCCTCATATAGATGTTAAACAGCATTGGGAAGATGGTCAAACCCTGCGGAACCCCACAATTGAGGCTCCATGGGGCCGACTCACGCTCCCCAAGCTGGACTCTCTGAGAACAACCCCCCAGGAAGGACCAGAGCCAGGCCAACACCTGACCACAGATTCCCAACTCGGAGACCCTCCTCAGGAGGATACCATGGTTGACGGTATCAAAGGCAGCTGAGATATTGAGGAGGAGCAGCAGAGAAATTTTCCCCCTGTCAGCCTCCCTCAATAGGTCATCATACAGGGTGACCAATGCTGTTTCTGTACCATGGTGCGGCCTGAAGCCCTACTGGAATGGATCCAGGGTGTTTGTTTCATCCAAGTGCACCTGAAGCTGATTGGCGACCACCCTCTTGACCACTTTCCTCATGAAAGAAACATTGGCGACGGGCCTATAATTGCCAATATTGT